GCCCTCAGCCCCATGCCACTGAACTTTCATTGATCACGTTGTGTCTAGTTATCTCACTCCTAAATGTTTTGAATTTTCTAGGACACAGACACATTTTTAGAGTCAGTTGCAGGTCCAAGTGACCATGCGAGAACTTCCATAGGCTCATCTTCTATAGATGCAGACCGATGATTGGATGGAAGTCCTGATGTTGCAACATAGAAATCACCAACATTTTCAGGCCATCATTTAGAGTTCATCTCTATAGTGATGATAACGGGTGTCTACATGATCCCGGGGGGCTACAATTATCTATGCTGATCCTAGTGATCATGCCATAACAACCAGAGTGACATCTACTTCAGATGTTTCACAATGATTGGTTGGAAGTCCTGTTAGAGCTACAACGTTTCTATCATTATATACAGGCCACACATCAATGTTTACACTGATGTTGTGTCAACGGAACACCACAGTGTCTCCGGTTCTTATCTTTTCATTTTTTTTGCATTTTCAATTTTCCAGAATAAAAGAATAAAGGCAAGACATCTCGATTCATTGGATTGTCATAAAGGGGGAGAGTGGTCCACACGCTGTTTACTCTCAAAAATCATTCTCGGACACTTCTCTCCTCCAGCTCAAAAACAATGGCTCTCTACTCTCTCATGTTCATCAACTGCCAAGTCAGCTTCAAATCTAAAGGTCATCCATGCTCACAAGTCAACCATCATTTTTCGCTGTTCCACCGACAACTGTTCCTCAAAAGCATTCACAACCGAATAGTCAGAAAAGGCTACATTCTGGAGGATACAGAGGTCGGATGATTAAATGCTGAAGATGAATCCCTTATGCGCCTAGATTTCTCCAGAACAATCATTCTAAAGGCGCCATCAGATTCATTCAAGCTGATCAAGAGAAACTTCTGAAAGGCAGGGATTAAAAGCAAGATTTTGAAGAATCCCTCAACCCCCGGCATCAAAGAACGAATGGAGTGAATAACACCAAGGGGGAGATTGTAAGGATTTCTTCATGAAGCCTTTCCAAGAAGACAAAAGAAGCTGAACTGAAAGAATTTGATCGACTAAAGCGGTGCTAGACACAATCAATGCTCGACTCGAAAAGAGTAGAATGCTGCGCCAATATGAACATGCTCTAGCACTGCAAAACAACTACTACAAGAGGCAGAAGAATCCACAAGAGCCAACAACGGACATCTGATCACAAAGGGGGAGAATGTTAGAGATATTTTTAGTGTTGTGATCAATGTATTTTATCTAGCCTCTTGGTAGTATTTATTGTGTATTTAATAGGCCTTAAATGGAAAAGGCTACTAAGCTAAATTAGGAATGGGCCTCCTAAAAAGGAGAGCCCATATCATTGTAAAACCTACCATTCTAAGGAGGCTATAAATAGACCCCTTAGGAATGGCTAGGTTAAGCTTTCCGCCCTCAGAAATATTCCCTGCGCATAGAATAGAGCCTACGGAAGTTTTACGCTAACATTCTTCACCATCTTTGTGTAAACTTTCTGGCTATCAATGGAAAGCTTCTTCTACTCCTATTAATCAGATCTTATACATTATAGAGTAGAAATAGGGACCAACACTTCCTTTTTCCCCTTTTTTCTCTTTCTTCTTTTGGTCCGCTCCTCTTCTGCGACTCTAACCCCTCCATCTACGGCCTCTTCTTCCTTCTTCTGCAACTACAGATCTATGGAGGTCAGGAGGTGGCAACGGAGGGTGGTTGGAGGTCGTCCGATGGAAGAGATGGAGGTGGAGACCATGGATGTGGAAGTCGGCCAAAGCTGTGGGTAAGGTGGTCAGGGGCTCAAGGAGGCGGCTATGGAAGCCGAGGCGGTTGGAGGTCGCTTAAATGGAGGAGGCGAAGGGGAAGGCCACGGAAGTGGTGGACGGAGGAAGAGGCGGTTGAGGACTTAAGGTGAAGGTGGAGGCCATACTCCAACGGTGGCTATGGAGGTTGGACGGCGGAGGTGGTGGCTGAAGAGTCCTGGGCGGCAGAGGTGGTGGCTGGAAAGACCTGGGCGACGGAGGTGGTGGCTGGAGAGGCCTGGGCGGCGCCGCGGCGAAGTTTGTTCCTGTGGTGGGGCGGAGTAGTAGGAGTTATGGTGGAGAGCAGGGGACTGCCGGACTGGGAGAGAAGAAGAGGGCTGCCGGACTGGGAGAGAGGAGAGGAGCGGACCAAGAAGAAAGAGGAAGGAAGAGAAAAAAAGAGAAAAAAGAAGAGAGAGGAAAAAAGGAAAAGAAAAAAGGAAAAAAGTAAAAAAAAAAAAATCCAACTCGGACGTCCACGTAGGCGTTTAACCGGGTAACCGGTTTACTACCGGCTAAAAAGCCGATTTGATCGTTTTTTGATAGTTGATGGACTTAATTGACTTGAAAAAAAGTACATAGACTCAATTGATTTTTTGTTAAAAGTACGTGGACCTATTTGACAGTTTTCCCTACGTATATCACACTTATTTGTGAGTTTTTATTGTTTTGTATGCACATTTATTTTTAATCAAATTGTTGCACATTTTATACTATTAATAATTTAACAATATATTATGTGATTTTAATATATTTATAAAAACAACCCGTTTCAAGATGAGTCATAATGCATGTATTTTTTTTTTGTCAAATGAAAATGAATATGCAAGTTTATCATTCTAATAGCGCAATTAAATTGCAAAATTATGCACTTTTATCTTTAACTATAGTTGTGTGCACTTACACGTACTCAAAACTAAATATGCACTTTTGGTAACATTATTGTGAACTTATATACAAGTGTGCAAACTTTTGTACACTTATTCTTAACTAAAATATTGTGCACTCTATGCTTTGATTTTTTCAAAGGTTAAGGTATAACAATGAACTATACTCTAACAAAATGGTAGGCTTCAGAACTCGTCTTAACACATAAGTATGAAAGATTTAGACCTATAAAAATAGACCACTTTGATGAACAAAAACAAGGAGTTGATCCACAGTGAACTTTCCAAAATAAGGATCATATGAGAACTAGATGAACCGTGGCTGGTTGTGGGAATGCGTTCAAAACTGGATCACATGGCGTCCAGGTTTAGGGTTAAGAACTCTGCATCAGACTTGGCAAAATGGGAATTCATTGATAAGGAGTAGCAGCTTCTCAATCTGATTACTTATCACTATAAATGCATAATCGTTTGAAAATGTTATAGAACATAATTAAAAAGTGATAATGAATCCAGTTATCAGGATTAACAACGTATCTTAGGTTGCCTGAACTAAACTTTTATATGACACTTGTATTGGACTTTGGAGTGTAATGTACTAGATAGACATTAAGGTTTTGTTTGGTACACAGCTTGACAATTAGTCACTTATAATTCCTAATTGATAAAATAGTTGATTTGTGCCCTTGGAGTGTGTAAAGTGGAGCTCGTGATTCGTGAACATGACCTAAAATTTTACCAAGGCTCCCTTTTTTATTAATCAACCCTAAAAATTAAATATAAAAAACTCAAGCAGAAATACTTTTTCTCCAAGCCCATATGACCAACATGTTAAACAATATTCAAATAAAAATTGGTACTGGTTTTAGAATAAATATACTCATGGGATATGAAAAACTATCTAACCAAGCTTTTAAAAATGTTCGAACTTATCAAATAAGTTAGTCAACTAAACGTTAACGGATTTGAAAAGCTGAAAAAGTGTGAATAATGGAGTCCTAAATTAAGCATTTAACTAAACATGGGGTCTTTTCCTCTAAAAATGATATAGTTACAAGTGGGCCGGGGCGTAGGTAGGGGTACCGAGTAAGTCTCTGATCTGAATCTTGACAACTACAATGAGAAATTACTATGTAACAATGCATAGGACCTCGGTAAGTACCTGATCTCCACTCTCTATCTATCAACTTTTTATTAAAGTCCAATATATATTCTTCCAATTAATTGTCTGATCGGTGTTTAGGGCTCTCAGAATTGGAGTGTCATCATTTTTTTATTGAATAGTTACCATATTATTTTTTTACAAGTAGTTATCCATTCTTTCGGAAAGAGTTGAGAGAAAATTTAGAATAATTCAAATGGCTTTTATTTGGGAAAGGTGGAACCGGAACCGGCTCGGGTAGCCGACGGTTCCGGGCCGGGCCCAAACCGGGCCGGTTCCGGTTTGGACTTTTTTTATATTTTCTTTTGCTTTTGTAATCAACCCCGGACCCCCCCCCCTCACCCCCCAAAACACCCAACCCAACCCAGTAGAATAGAAAAAATTGGAAAAAAAAGGCCCGAACCGGCCAGGCTGGTTCGCGTTTTAGGGGGCCCGAGCCCGCACCGGGAACTGAGCGGTTCCGGTTTGCCCGAACCGGCTCCAAGACCGGGTACTGGGCCGGGCCCAAACAATACCGAGCCGGTTCCGGGCCGGGCCGCCCTGGCCAAGTCCACCCCTATGCAACAATGTGGACACAGGGTGTATACAATTTCAGCCTCGGGACCGGTCCGAACCGAAACTGGCCGTTTTTTTATTCGGAACAAGAGCTAAGTCCAAATTACGTTTATTACGGTCTCAATCCTTGGTGACCCAAATTACGAATTAGACCCGGTCGGCCCGGTCCTAGTTACTTGTTTTATTATTACACATTCATTCTAGGAATCTTTTTCAAATGGCTTTTTCTAGTAATTTAGAAAGATTTTTCAAAGAACAATTCGTTAGATGTTAAAAGGGCTGTCTTGCCTCGTTTTTATAGTTCGTGAGTTTAATTGGGTGTTTCTTGAGTTCGGGGGCTTAGAGGAAATCTATTTAGAGGAATGACATGAATTGCAGGGTAGAAAAATTATTCGGGGTTACTTTGAATGACATGATAACGAATTAGAGGAAATCTATTATTTGGGGTTACTTTGAGGTCAATCGGAGGTCATTATCATCGGTGATGGACTAAAAAGAAAGCCATCATAAATTGCAGGGACGAAAACCAAAAAATAATTTTGCAGGAATGTAAAACAAAATGTACTATATTTGAAGGGACTAAAATTGGAAGGCAATGTGATCTCATGTATATAGATGGGAGTCAGTTTTTAAGGAATATTACACCGTATAAAATACTCCGTACAAATTACACGAAACCAGACTATCATGTCAAAATGTTTGACATGAAGAAACAAAATCTCTTAGTTTGTTCTTGAACAACTTTTTCCAATGTCTTTCATGGAAAGCAACAAAAGAAAATTATACTTAGAACTTGGACAAAGCATACAGAACAAAATGATTGAACTTCCAAGAAACCTGTTGTATAAGTGCCTCCAGTAAGTTGTGTTTCCTCCTCCACAATTTGAAGACCAAGTAGTCACTACTTCCCAATCCATGGAAAGCAAGAACAGCCCTGGAAGAACAAAAAATTGTTGTAAAGAAGAGACGAGAAAACTATGGGAAAAACAGACCTTCCTTTGCTTTGCAAATCCAGCAAAGTTGTACCTTGGAACTCTCATTTTTTAATGGCTTGTCATTGTTTGGGTCGGGCGTTTCAGTTGGCATTACAGGTACTTTCCCTGCCTCACTCTGCTTCTCACCCCGCACTCTGTCAAATACTTGGCTAAACTGTTCTGCTGATGATGGATCAGTATCATCCCAATCTCCGAATTTCGGAATTACTAGGTTGTGATCCGGCTGCATTGAAAACATTGCCACTGTGTTTTTGAGAAAATACCTTAAATAGGAATAAAGCAGACTAAATTTTCTCAAAATAGGAGTATCATTGTTTTCTTCCCAAAATAGGACTCATGCAATCCTATTTAGGGAAGACTTCATTTTTCTATTCTTTTATAGGACTAGATAAGTCCTCTTTTGGGGAGAAACATATTTAGACCTATGTTAGACCTTTACCTATGTTAAACTCCTATTTTGAGCAATTTCTTCGTTTTTTGCGTGAATATATAGAGATAAATATTTTTAAAATAATATTGATTGTAATAATCTAACTTTTTCTCGTCTGCTTATAACATCCTGCCTTTCATTTTCTTGAGAACAGTTCAATCTTTGTTTCCTCCTGGTATCAATCCACACATTAAAATTTTCACAGTGGAATTATTATTTGGTAAAACAAGTACACTCTAAAAATGGCCTGTTACTTATCAGCGTTCGGAAAGCTTGGATAATTCTAAGAGGTGACATTAAGAGTGTATAATAAGCCAACCAAAAATATAATTGAATTAGAGTCGAATGTTCCTTATTTTTAAACTAGTAATGAAAACTGTAAAATTCATGTGCCGGCCCCAATGGTGTTTGGGTTAATTTGATGATGAGCACTTGAGCAGTGGCAGAGCTATTGTACCTATTTATGTAGATATATTTATGATCTATACAAAGACATGTTAAAAGATGAAACTTTAAGCTGTACCGCACTACTGCTTTAGCTATGAGCGCAATAATGGAATCGAAAGAAAATGAGTGCGATACAGGGTGGCAATTGGCATGTACTGCTTAGTATTTCGACTCTTATTTCACTTTTTAATGAAATTTCACAAAATTAATAAGAGCATAGCAGAGAATCATTGATAGCTGCTTGTGTTGTTTTTATATATTTTGAAGAAGCAAGCTACCCAATAACTTTAGTCACTAATGCTTAGGATCCAGATAGAGATTTAAGAGGCATCCATTCAGACCAAGTTATAATGCTATAATAACTTGGGGCCTAACTCACTAAGTGATCCTCAAACAATGAGATTTACCTCATAATTATATACAGAGTAATAGATATATATAGATCTTGTTAGTATCCTATATAAGACATTTAACAATGCATAGTGGAAAATGCATGAGGAGGGGAAATGACATTACCGTGTCATCACCTTTTGTGACTGGTCTAAGACGAGATCTAGAAGGTGTTGAGGGAGCTATTGCACGGCCACCTTCAGATGAACCTTTTTTTTCCCATGTGGGAGAAGAAACCGCGCTACCCCCCTCTACCACCACCTCCTCCAATCCTTGCATGATGCAGGGGTGGAACATCAAGACTTCGGTCACCGTGGCGAGAAGCTCTCCTTGGAGTGCTATCACCCGCATTACGATGAAGAGGTGACTCAAAGGGAGTTCTCCTTCCCCCATTCTCAGTCCCTCGTGAGGGAGAATCAACATCATCTCGACTCCATTTCCGCACATGTTTTATCTTCAGGGGCGCAGGGCGTTTTATTCGTCCTGTTTTGCTCCTGCCGTCTTGATGAATGGGGGAGTCACTTAATACAGCAACGGGGTCTACTTGAGGATTAAGTGGATTCATGTTATCACCTTTTTTTCCCTTGCCGACATTTTCCCAATTGGTAGTATCTGGTGATTGCAACATTTGCTGCACAAAATTGAATCAAATATACACTGAGATAATGTGCAATGTAGTGCAAGTATGGAACAAAGAAAATCAAGGAGATTTCAGTAACTTGATAGAAAAGAAGAAGGGTTGATGTGTTAGCTTGTCATTTGATTTCAAACAAGAACTGTTATGCGTTTAACCTTCTTTGATGAATGAAAGAAAATAAAACTGAATGAAACCATAAGAACTTGCTTACCTAGTTCATCAGAAAAAAACCTGTTATTGACCTGTCAATAATACAATATAGAAAAAGGTATTTTATGCATATGTCACTAAAAGATCTAGGCTATCGCAACGTATGAAAGTTTTAGTTTTAGTAGTTAATAATATGACACAACACCATTAAATTAGGCAATTCTAGGGACTTATAAAACTTGGAAGAAAAAGATGTTTAGAAAGAGACTATCTTTTAACCATATGTGTGGTAATAGGGATGCAACCCAAGCCCAAATTTTAGATAGAATGAGGTGTAGACCGAACCAAACTGCACTCAATAATTTTGACGTGCGATACTCTTGTACAGTTTGGTGTACAGTCTCTGCAGCACAACAAGAATGTCACAATCTCTGTTTTAAGTTTTGGGGAAAAGGAGTTACGTGAATTTTCCAAAGCTCTACAATGTCACATAATCTTGAGAAAAAATATTAAGGGTCGGGTAGTTAATGCTAGGGAAAGGAAAACAAAATCAAAGAAAGTCATTTCCTTATGCTTGGGTTACCATGAAAATTACTAATGGAAAATAAACTTCATAGTAAATATTGAGTACTCCCTCCGTCCCATAAAATTCTTCCCACTTTCCTTTTTGGGCCGTCCCAAAAAATTCTTCCCACTTACCATTTTTGGACAATTTGTGTGGTTCACATTCATTTCACCTTTTTCTTACACAACCACAACCATACATTTCTACTTTATTCCACTTTCTTAAACTCTATGTCAAGTCAAAGTGGGAAGAATTTTCTGGGACGGACGGAGTAAAATAGAAATAATGCAGAATTGCTGACAACACAGTCTCCTACCAGTGTCAAGTTCCACCAAAAAATGATGCCTATGACTCAGGAGACAACTATCTGGAGCTTATGCAAAAGAATAAATAAATCCTTTAGCTGATTAGCTCTTTCCACACTACGATATTTCTAGAAGTTGTTTATCAGCAAACTCTAATTACAAACAGGGGCTCCTTGTAGTCTTCATCTTATGGCCTTTTGCAAACATAGAATCTGTTTGACTGGGAAATAATTTTAGAACCGGTTCATCACAATTTATGCAACTAAAGGTCTTCAGGATGCCTTCAATGGAAATTTGGAGTACTTTTCACTTTCAAGATCCTATAGTAAATTTTTTATTGCATATGCCCCCTTAAAGCCCCTCTCCCAAATAAAAAACTTCTTTACTTGTATAGTTGAGGCTTTATCAACCAATAGTATATGATGGGATTTGGAAACAATATTGGCAATGGGATCACTGACGGTTTGCAAATTAATTTGCTTGAAGGGAAAGATAACTGCACAATTTCTATTTCTGCTGTCATTAATTACCTACTCCGTATTTTTGCTTCAAAACTGAGAAAGCCATTGTTTGTTTCTATGTACCCTAAAAAAATATGTTGTTGGGGTACCACATATGATGATATGAGACTATGAGAGCTTGGAAATATCCAAAAGGTTATATACAAAGCGTTACAACGCGAAATGACAAATGCAGTTTAATCAACTTATGCAATTTAGCTGTCTATAGCATCAGTAAACTAGGGAGAGCATGAATAAATATAATTGATCCAACAAAATGTTTTCTTGAGGTTCGAGGTACTAAGTCATAAATACACTAGTTTACAACTTCTAGCTTTTAGTCTGTTTAAGTTTATCTGTAAGTTCCAACATCACAACGATACCTAAAACTAGAGGGATCTATTATTACCAAATTTGTCTGCTTTGATGAACGAATAGAAAAGGAATGAAATAAAAAAACATACAAGTTTATTTACCCAATTAGCTAGAAGACTGCTTGAACACTAACTCTTGAGAGATGCATCATCCAACGAAGAAGAACCTATTTATCGTATGGGTACAATTTTAGTACAAATAATACGAGGAACGGCCCAAAAACCTCAAAATCTTGGACGCGGCGATGACAGATATGGCTTGGAGTAAGGATGTTTTCAATTGGACTAAAATTTTCTAGTGTGGTTTGTGTAAACCGATTTGGTCTGTTTGGTAGCCATGTTTAAGTCTATCTAGACCAGTCTGGTCTGTTTAGTTCTATGTATTTTTGTGTTGCCTGGTGTCGTCAAGTCTAGGTCGGTCTTGTCTGAGATTGAAGTCAATCCAAGTGAAAACATCTTAAGTTTCTACACACCAACATACATCCATAACCAAATCAATTTACCAAACAATCCCTCTCCCAAATGACACAATTTCCAAGGACTCCGTCCAAAATAGAACTGAACACAAGGCAGGCTGCAGTATTATGTATACTTTAATAAATATGAAAAAATATTATCACCCTGAAATCATACACCACGGCATTATTACACCTTAATATGGTATTAATGTGATAATATAGCAATAGGATTTCAATATGACATTATTTACTCCTATTTATGGAGATATGGTACTCCTAATTTAGAAACTAAATTGTTTTTAATGTGCCAATTTCTTTTTTCTTCTCAAGTACTCATTAAGTTCCACATTGCAAGTCCCACATGGACTACCAAGATAAAGTAAATTCTTCCTTGTAACACGTAACTTTGTGTTAGTAATTATAAATTATATATTTAGAAAAAACAACAAAATTCCATCATTTCCGATGGAGCCAAAGATTCACTATTTTTTGCTTTGAAATATGATGAAATAAAGCAAAATGGCTCACTAAATTGTGTGCACTTCTTTGTTATGAAGCAGTGGTTTGTCTACGCAATTTTCAATATGGTTTTCATCATGGGTCATCCAAAAACAATCTCTCTGGGTTTTAGTGTAAGAATAAGGTTGCATACATCCTGACCCTCTTATACCACCGTAGGAGCCTTTGCGTCGGCACTGGGATAAGTTTGTTGTTGTTGTAGTAAATACACCAAAAGTTTTACTAAATAATAAAAACCGAATAATTTTGAATATGAAAAAGATTGGGCACATAAAATTAAAAAGGGAAAATCGCATATTTGGTCCCTTAGTTATCCACGAAATTAAAATCTCAGACCTGTATTTCGGAGATTGTAAATGTCACCCCTCAATTGTCCAAATTGTTGTAAATGTAGTCTTTAAGTGGTGAAATGTAATCTAGCCCATATTGTATATTTTACCCCTCAAAAGGACCAAATTTATAACAATTTGGACAATTGAGGGGTGACATTTACAATCTCAGAAATACATCTGAGATTTTAATTTCGTGGATAACTGAGGGGTCATATATGCGATTTACCCAATTAAAAATTAAAAATTGAAAGAGAAATAGATTGACGCAAGAATTCAAATTCGGACAAGTAATACAGAACTGAGGAGTATTAAACTGCTCAAGAATTCAATCGACCACAAGCTCATTCACTGTACGGTACTAACAGTAGAAACCCATTATAAAGCAGCAATGAAAAAGCTTCTCAAAATTAGCAATGTTAGCATAACAAGTAGATGATTTATAGCTTTCAATTAGTAGCAGTGAAGTATATGCATCAGTAAAACTGAATACTCACTGTCATTCTTGTGCTGTTCTTCAGCTCCCGCAGCAGCTACAACTATTGGATCAAAATTTTCTTAGCAAAACACAGCTCAAAAGAGAGAGAGAAGGATTACCGGGAAACTTGGTACAAAAATGACTTATGACCAGACAATTGAGAATGACCCGAGAAGCTGTCATGAATGGGAACTATTGCAGGTCACATGGCACTGCCGGTCATAACTAGTGAACAGGGGCGACCCACCTATGTTCAAGCAATTAATTCTCTCATCAAAACCATGTCGTTTAGAAAGAAAAAAGGAAACCCCTCCGTGTGTCCGGTTGCGCTGAACTGGCTTCATCCTTCTGGGCTTCGATTTCCAAATTTCAGCCCTCTGCTGCTCTACACCGCAACGTCGAGTCAGTCCAGTCCTCCGTCTTCCAGAGCTTCCGTCTTCCAGAGCTTCCGCAGCTTTTGTCAGCTCAGTTCAGAATAACTTCTGAATTTATGGAGAACCTACCGGTGCGGATAATTCTTACCCTGCCGGTGCCGATAATTCTTATTGAAATTCTTGCGTCAATCTATTTCTCTTTCAATTTCAGTTGTCCATCAAATTAAATCTCAAATGTCACCCTTAACTCATTAAAAATGATGTAATCATGTGTTTTTTACCTGCGGGTGCCGATAATTCTTACAATCTTACCCCAGCAACAAAGAAAAAAAGATCTAATTGCATCATTTTCAAGTTAAAGGGTGTATATGCAATTCTTTAAGTTCAGAGATCTGATTGACAATTCTTCAAGGCTATATATGAACAAAGTGTTATATTAACACATGAGTTATTGCTCTTATCAGGTTGACCTTTTAGGATGGAAACCTGTGTCTTAACATGGTATCAGAGCCAAATCGATCCATGGTGTGGGACTCCTTATGAAGAATGATGACACGATTATAAAATGGCCGGATAAAAAAACCGGATCGATGAAAAAAATGAATGATGACACGATATAGACGAAGTGTTTGGTCGTAAGGAGGGGTTTTGAATGTCCCACACCGGAAACGTTTGGATGAACAAAGTGTTATATTAACACATGAGCTAGTACTTCTCTTATCAGACTGACCTTTTAGGTGGAACCCGTGTCTTGACAAGTGCACAACTTTGTCGTTGATTGATCAGGTATTTACTTTTTTGCAAGGGTAATCGGTATTGAGGCCGTTTGGCAGCACCTTTTTTCGGCTTATCAGGCTTATCAGCCGACTTTTTCACCAAACACGTAACTTTTACTTTCGCGCGCTGAGTTGTGTAATAAGCAGAAAAAGTAAGGTTGGAGTTACTTTTCTGGCTATTTTGGCTGAAGTTACTGTAGATGACCATTTTAGTTATTTTTGCATATAATTTTTTCTTTATTTTATTAATAAAATATATTTTAAAAATAATTATTTCTTAAATCACCAGAATCAGCTAATGCAGCCACTTCAGCCAGAACTTTAGAAATTTCAGCAGAATCAGCCAAAACAGTCGATTTTCGTGCTATCAAACGGGCTCATAAGTTATACAACTTCCTATTAGTATTAACGGTATTAAGAAAATTTAAAGGGTAATCGGCGTTTGGAAATTGAAACTCTCCTACCAGGTTCGTACTCTTCAGCAGTTCATGTTATCGGTGGCTCCTCATTTTGTAGATATATGTTATACAACTTCCTATTTATTAATTGAGATTAATGGTATTATCGTTATTTTATCAGATTTCAGATTTGTTTTTTGCAAGGAGTTCAGATTTTAGAATAGTTTAAAATAGACTTTGATTAATTGATCATATTACAGTGTTGAACTATATTTTCGAAATTAATTCATAATTCCATATCACCGATTTCAAATTATTTTTTAGATTTCAGATTTCAGTCAAGTAATATTTAGCTTTTAGATTTAATCACACTTAATGATGGGATAATGGGCCAGGCCCAGTGCCATCGGCCCGTTATCCCCAGGCTTAGGCCCAGGACGCAGTCTCACGAGCGGGAGTCACCCCTTGCTCATTACTTATTTATCGGACCGGTTCGCCCATTAGCTTGGAGATGTATTATTAATTTGGGCCAAGCCCACGTAGATTAGACTTTGGACTTATGATGGATGCCTATAAATAGGCCATCAACCCTCCATGTATTCTCTACGCTATTGGACTATACTGAAATGCTGCTAGTTTCTCTACCCGGGTTATTTTCTACCAACATTGGTGCTTTCATTGAGAGCCATCTCTCATTTTCTGGTAGGAACTTTGGAGAGAAATTCAGCAAAATCAGTTCAAAAAAACCAGGAAAAAAAGGAAAAAAAAATAAAACTCCTACAATTTCATATCTGGAAATTGACGATTAAGCTACAACAAGTGTTTCAATTCTTCACTCCGTTCACGAAGGCCGGTGGAGTTGCAAGGACCAGGGCTCACCCAGAACCTTTGATCCGTCACAGAACCTCCATTCACATCTCATTTCTCAGGGCACCGCTTGGAGCAAAGCCCGTCGTCGGTTGTTGCTCGCTTCTCTTCCTCTACAGTCGAAGGTTGTAGCACTGCCGACGCCGGTTACCGCTCGCTTCACCACTTGCCAATCGTCGTTCGTTTCTCCATCTCTGTCATAACGCATCCGGCTGACGACCCAAATCCGAAATTCCTAGAGAAGAGCTAAAAGAGATGGCCAGGTCGAACTGAGCTCCTCAGCTCCGTAAGGGTTCAGGTCTGGTGTTTTCGATCCCAGAACAGATACCCAGGGCTCCAGAGTCCAGAGGCGGCGACAAAGAATCTTGTCCCTTGTGAAGCGGCGAGGCGGTGCCATGGCCGGAGAGCCCACGCCCGTCCCGATCGAGGTTCTTTTGCAGTGACTTCCTTGCGCTTTGTTTCACAGCAGTCCCGCACTTCCTGGAGGGTGAGAGATGCACAGCCCGAGCGTTCTCCGGCAGAGCAACGGCCAGCGAGGCTTGGACGCGGACGGCTGAGACACCTGTAGACCTCTGACCTGTAGCTAAGGATTTGAGTCACAGTCCTCTCTTCCCAGCCTGTAAACCCGGAAAGCAACAGGGCTGGTTAGAGGGGATGACGGCCTACGGGAGTCTGGACTCCTCTTTCTCCAACCAGCCTTGATTTACACCTTAGTCAAAATTTCACTGAACTCAACGGTGAGCTGGCAGACCACATTTGGACCCTTCCTCTCTCTCCGATGAAGCAAGACGAATGAGGATGACCCGCTCAATGAAGGACAATCATCAACCGTGATATATCACAAATAAAAAAAAATGTTTAAATTTTCTGAATTTGCAGGTGAGTCACTAGCGCTGACAGGCCGTGTAACACCATCGCGAGGTCGTGCACCTTTGGAGCTATCACCCCGACGCATGTATGCTTGGTGCCCATACACCACGCCCTTAGAGCATGATGGACCCCGAAGGGAGTACGTGTCCAGGCAAGTTGAGCAACCAACAAGGAGGCCCTCCCGGTAACGCTTGTTTCGGGAAGGAGGGAACGATTTGTCTCATCACTCCCGTCGACCGGGTAGACGGCTGGCTCCCCGAGAGGCGTACCAGCAAAGATGTTCTAGCACAGACAGATCTCGAATGGAGTATGTATCCCGCCAAGTTGGGTAGCCATGGTAGCCAGGAAGGACGACTCGTCATATCACTCCCATTGACCGGGCAGGCGGACAACCTTCCCGGATGGACGCCATGCTAAATCTCGACCTCATGCACAGAAGAGGGTTGCAGAGTCTTCTGCGCAAGTTCAGCTCCGCGCTAGACACGATCGAGCAGAACCGGCCCCTGATGCGGTGGAACATCTGAGGCTAAGGTTACACGAGTTGAGGAGAAGGGTCGTCGAGGGAGAGCCATACGTGTCCGACCTCCACGTCCCGGAACCATCCACTTGCACAATGATGAAGCACTGCTGTCCAAGGGGCATTGACTTTGCAACGTAGAGCTGTTGCTCGAAGTCCTGGAAGTATCGTTGCTAAAGGGGTACAAACTTTGCAACGCGGGAGCTGTTCGTAAAGGTCCATGAGTACCGTTTCTAAGGGGTTACAAACCTTGCAACGCGGCGGCAACCAGGAAGGAGGCCTTCCCGGCAACACTCGTCCTGGGAAGGAAGGAAGCACTGTTGCTAAGGCGGAACAAACCTTGCAACGCGTGCTGTTACCCAAAATCCTGGAAGTATCGTTGCTAAAGGGGTACAAACCTTGAAACGCGGAGCTGTTCGTGAAGGTCCAGGAATACTGTTGCTAAGGAGTTACAAACCTTGCAACGCAGTGGCAGCCAAAAAGGAGGCCTTCCCGGCAACACTCGTCTTGGGAAGGAAGGAAGCACCGTTGCCAATGGGTACAGACCTTGCAACGGTCAGCTATTGCTCAAAGTCTTGGAAGAATCGTTGATAAAGGGGTACAGACCTCACAACGTGAAGCCATTCCACAAGGGCGTGCAGACCGCCAGGCTGGGGCAGAAGACGCCAAGCAGAGGAAGAAAGTGAAGAGTTTGGGTTGGGATTCAAACCCCAGGCATAGGAGGGAAACAAGGAACCTCGACCAATGGGCTGAACTGTCAAAGTTTTCGTCTGTTGACGTGCGGCGCCATCATGTGCCAGCGCCATCACGTGCCGGTCGCCGCCGCGCGGCGCTGCCACTCTGTGCCGCCGCCGCAGTGTGCTGCCACCTTGTGTCGCCGTTGCTTGATTATCTTTCTCAAGACCGATTCCTGGCGTTGACGTCGTTACCTCAGGGACGACGATCGTCGTGATCATGTTCCAGGCCGGCTCCTCAGCGCCGACATCGTGACTGCACGATCGGGCCCCCCGTTCCCTTCCGGGATGGCGACCGTCGTATTCATGTCCGGGAAGGTCATCATGACTGCACGATCAGGCACGCGAGGAATCAGGTGATGATGTTGACAGAAGATCTCTGGAATCAAGTGTCGAATCCTGGAGACTCTAGGGGTACAATTGGGTCACGGTCATAACAACCAATCTGCCCGTGATCGCCTTAGAGGTGAGCCCTATCGTGCTCCGCGCATGTAGCCGATACAGCTTCATACTGGGATGCAAGCGTTCCGGGAAGCCACCGCATTCTAGAAGCTTTGGCTCAAGGATTCTAGAGGTTAACGCCACAGGAACAGGTACATAAGCGTTGAAGTCACGTTATTCTTGTGGACATGGAGACATTCCCCGGATAATACGAAGACGCCCTATGACGCATGGATTCACGAAGACGTGAAAGCATCATTGTCAAAGGGGTACAAACCTTACAACACGGAGTTGTTACGTGAAGGCCTGGAAGCAAGGAGGCCCTCCTGTCTGGTGACGTGAAGCAAGGAAGCATCGTCGCCAGAGGGGAACAAACCTTGCAACGCGAAGTTATTGCATGCCCAGCTTCAGAAAAGGAGCTCAAGGTCCATGTCGTTAACAACAACGGTACAAAGTACGAGGAGGGTTAGCTCTGTATTGAACCCACCTTTAAGTCGAAGAAATCCATGTCAACCCCAAGAGACTGGAGCGGAAGATCAAGATCGGTGCAGAGCTCCCGATCAATCTTATTAGTTGAAGGTCACGATGGGGAACCTTGCAGATCAAGTGTAGATTGCAGGACGCTTGGTCAAATCCTAAGAGTGGAGCATCCCAAGCTTGTAGGTCAAGTGCGGAGTGCCGGGAACCCTCTCTAATCCTAAGAGCGCAGAACTGCAAGCCCGTTGATGAAGTATGGATTGGAGATTAGCTCTCACACATTCTATGAATCGATCATCACAAATTGAAGATCAAGTGCAGAACCGGAGCAACTCCTCAAGTTCTCAGATTCTTTCATCACTTAAAAAAAATCATTTTCCAGTCTGGAATTTAATGAGGTCCGACCTCACTTGGATTAAACGGGCGGCGGCTGAAAAAAAAAAGGAAAAAACAAAAAAAAACAAAAAGAAAAACAAAAAAAAAACAAAAAAAAGAAAAAAAAAGTGTATATATATCACGCCCCGCTCTCGGTGTTTAGTCGACCACGGCTCGGCTCTCGGGCAAGGAAATGATCATACTACTTTTTAAGTCCGGGGTTAGCTGCTCGGTCAGGGCAATTGTAGGACCGACTTCCGGGTCGAAAAGGTATGCGAGAGGTCGCGCCCCGAGCCCCTCTCGTACATCCGTAGTCTAACATTGCTGTCTAAACAGCTCGCATGCGCGTATGATCCAATCAACAATGCGACAACTATATGACCGGTCTTCGGACCGAAGGAATGCGAAAGGTCGTGCTCCGAGCCCCTTTCGTACATCCATTGTCTGACGTTGGTAGGCTTAGCAGCCCGCATACGTGCTTGACAGGATCAACGGTGCGGGTCCGTTCTGGTCTGATCATGCAGGGCCTTGCCCTTACGTTTGGCCGACTTCAGTTCGACTTTCAGAAACGAAACAACCAAAAAATTTCCTAAGTATGAAACTAGCTGTACAAGTCAAGGTGGTGTAAGACCGACCTCCAGGTCGAAGGTATGCGAGAGGTCGCGCCCCGAGCCCCTCTCGTACATCCGTTGTCCAATCACTGGCCAAACTGCTTGCACAACTCGTTGGTCCAAGACTGACAGTGTGCGGGTCAGCCCCGCCTTATCTAGCAGGGTGCGGTCAAGGTT